AGTGAACACGCATTTTTCTTTTTATTTTATTTATTTGTTTATTTATTATTTTTTTACTTTCATTTGGTTGTTTCCTTGTTTTACCGTGGTATAATTAGTAATATATTTAAGCATTCTAATTATTTTACAAATTGTAATATGTTTATTACTTGTTTGAAAATCCTATAAGTTAGCCAGGGAATACCTCTATGGAAAAAAAAGAGTTATTTATTTTGATAATGACCGGACATGGCTGTTGGAGGAAAGGATGCGAGACTCTCTCAGTATAAACTCCGTGAATATGTTCTCAAAAATTTTTCCAGCCAAAATTATATTATTTTTATACTTTTATATGTGTGTATTTGTGTGTTTTGCATGTTGCAGATCCTTTTTAACCTTAACATCAGTTCCATCAATTGTTAGCAGCCTTTCACAGACTGCACTCCCTTCGATCAGTTTATTACTGAAGACGAATTACGATGGGTTCTTGGAAAATATGAGTGCCATTATCATGATATTTTTTTCATATTTATCCAATTTGTTTTATTATTTATTTATTGATCTATTTATTATTATTTTTATTCATTTATTTATTTATCCATTTTTGGTACCGCACGGAGAGAATATGTCGTTGGTTCATTCAAAATCAGCACTACTTTTTTTCTTTCTTTTTTTTTGTTAAGGAACTTAATAAGCTCCGAAACGTAACTGAAGTATTTGTATTGTGTCTGTGTTGTGCTGTAGTCCACCTCTTATTAATTTTAATAGCCTCACCCAGTGTAAGTAAATATTGTTTAGTACGTAGAGTAAGCAAATCAGTTGATATAAAATTCGTAATGCAAGTTGAGTGAGCTTCATATGGTTTGTATTGTAAGCTAGTTTAAGAGAAAAATCCTTTAGTAAGTAGTCATAAACATGAGTATTGATAAGTATAAATAGATATAGAGGTAAAGATATAAAAAAACAATAAACACATAATTTACCAGCTTGGTCCTTATCATAGGTTATTTAGACTATATAAAACATAAAGTCGAGTGACAGGAAATCTGTAAGTTTAAATGTAGTTTTTAGGGATTTTTATGAGCGGTCGAAACTTTAACTGAATGCAGTTGGAATTTGCCTATAAAATTCTAAAATGATCTATTGTATATGTTTCTGAACGCAAAAGTATTGCATTAAGCTCAAAACTGCTCCGATCTGGCTTTGATGCAAAGTGACATTAGCTTGTGAAGAGAAAGTAATTATTTTCTTTATTCTTGTGACAGTCGCTGCTGATCACATATTGATCATGATAAAAATCGAAAGAACCATGCATGGTTTGTGATATAATAAACAACATTATGTCAGCAAAATGCCCACTCGTAATGAGGTTTATGAATAAACATATTTTTTACCTTGGTTCTCATCATAAGTTATTGCTAAAAATTGAACAAACGGTCAAATAAGAGAAATATTTTAAGTGGCTATGGGCTTTTTATACAAGCGCAAAGGCAAAGTATCCCACAAAGAACCGATACGAGAGTTGAGGGTTACCGGATGTAAATTACATCATTCTCTTCTTCGACCTCACTTTTCATTACCTTTAATGACTCAACGGCCTCAAATGTCGACCCACATTGACCCAAACTGTTCCAGCGATCCAATTATCTCGAATGACCCAACTGCCTCGAATGACCTAATTGATTTCAGTGAACCAACAGCCTGACATGACCCAATCGGCTGACAAAGAATAGCTATGAGTAAAGAGCAATGAAGGTTCGTAAAAAAAGTGTGTAAAGATTCATAAAGATAATTGGAGAGAAGGAAAGGCTAGCTGTGCATAAAACCGTTTAAGGTTTAAGGTCTGATTCGTTAAGAAAAAAAGACGCGTAAAGATTCGTTAAGAAAATTAAAGTCCGCGTAAAGATTATAAAGATATTGCGTAAAGGCCGTTAGTGGTCCGTGAGTGGGTAAAGAAACCATTAAAAGTCTGTAAAGAACAGTGTTAAAAGGTCCGTCAATTTACTAGTGCGCGTAAAGAGTGTTAAAAATTCCTAAAGAAACTTAATGAGTTTACGAAGAAACATCCAAATCACTCTGTAATTCACTGATGACCGATCAGACACATTTATTTCACACATTTTGTTAGTTCTTCCGATAATGTCCTCGAACTGTAAACGTGCTAATCTGCGCCCTTTACGCGCCTTTAATATCGATTACAGGGTCTTTGTGCAGTCTCTGCGTTAACGCATGCTTACGGAACACGGAATTTGTTTTTTACGCAAGAAATGAAGAAGAGTAATGTGGCGATTTCATGCTGCGTTATAATATTAATTTTATTACTTTACAAGCCGTATCAGCAGCCGAAGTTACTAATTCATATACAAACTTCCTCAAGATAGTTGTTCTGAAAATCTATATTTATAATTTCATTGATTTATAATTGCAATTTCTTAACTTTTCAATTTCGTCAAAATAGTAATCAAAGTGCTCTGTGAGCAAACACGTGAATTGACACATGATTTTTTTGGATTACGTTTAATGTTATCTGGTTTAGGGAATTTTGTGGTTGATTGTCATATCTAGAGTACGAGCAGTAGTTCAGTGTTCGCTAATGTAGCAGAGAAACAAAGTAACGTTGGGATAAGAAGGCATTACAATTGAAATGATCATGCTATTGCATTTGACAAGGGTGGATGATGTCATGTGTTTTAAACGTATATCATTTCTGTTTCTGGTTCAAAAGAAAATATTGGAAGTAAATGTGGGTGAAAAGTGAAATTTGCTGTAAATATTAGAAAATCGAGGCAATACTTTCTTAATGAAAACATTAACGATTCCCTCTTTATCAAATGAGACAAACGGGAACGAGTTTTGAGTGATATAACTAGGCCAAGACTGCCACCGTCATTTTGGATCTCCGCCTGGGTAGATTTTAGTCACGTGCTAGGCAACGTATAATCAATAACAAGATGGAATTTCATTTCAGGCCTATTTATCAATTTTGTGGTGTATAACTTTCGCATTTTAATACGTAATATGTATTTTGAATCTTCAAATTGTCTTGAAACTTAAAAGAAAATTGTTCTTTAAAAATTCACTGAAAATCGGTAGCTAATATTGTTTGTTTAGGTGTTATTTGATTTTCGTGTTAACTTGTAATTCCGTTAGTCGCCGGCATCTGTTGTTTCACACAGGAAAAACACACGATACGAAACGTAATGATCGATTTTGTCCTCAATCTCACGCCGTAACAGAAAAAGCTCTTTAACATCTGTAAGCTCCGAGCGCTTCGCGGTGAGTGATATTTTCAATGAATATTCGGATCGTTTTCAAGTTCAAGGCTGGTAAATTATAATTTTATGAAAAACGAAGGTTGTTCTGTTATTTCAGTGTGAATCCTTGCATGCCTGCCGGTCGCTGGCGCCGCTTGTTGAAACTAAAATGAAAAAAAATTATTTTAAGATTATCATTGGCTTCTTTGTCACCCCACCACTATTCTTAGCAACAAAGGTCGCCATTTCGTTTGTTTATTGCTCGCCAAAAACTATCAAATGCACTCAAAAGCCTAAAATCGAAAAAAAAATTACAGGAATCGACAAATCGAGCGAGCGAGCAAGTGCCATTCCCCACATCGTATCTACAACTCGCTCTTGCACATGCGCGCAATTCACGAGTTAAAAACCATGCACAATACCATGATCGGTTTGTTTTCATCGCAAATATTCAAAAGAGATATTGAAAATCCGTTGCAGAATCATAACGGAAACAGACAACAGCGGAAACGTCCTGACTTAAATATGACGGAAACATGACTTGACATCTCCGTTCAGGAAATATGACGGAAACTTGGAATCGCTAAGAATTGGTATAACACGTTTCCGCAAAACGTAAATGTAGCGGAAACATGAAGCTCTATGTTTCCGTCACATTCAAGAAATGCGGAAACGTGAGATTTCGTCCTATGCTAGGTACTGCTAATTGATTAAATTTGATGAGTTTTCCTATAATCGTGTTGATCTAGCTTTTTGGTCTACAATTTGGACTATTCTTTCAAAATGGCAAGAGTCTTCTTTATGAGGTCAAGCGTAAGAAATGCCAGCGAATGGGACTCTTTGTTTTGTTATTTTGTTGCAAAAGAATTGCAAGGTTTTTGCTTTACATCGGAAATTATAATGCTCCGTTATCCGAATTATTCATTATATAACAAAAATAAATAAGCTGTGCTTGCGACACAACCCAACGTAAAAAAACTACGGAAACCTTCATCACGTGAGCTGCAAACAGAGTGACGATAATAGTCTTTCCTGAATTTGTTTACTCATGGCAGGTCTCAAAGGAATTTTCCAGCTTTATCTTTTGTGCGTTATATGCGTACGTATGCTCGTGGATAAGACTGAGGAAATTTGAAGGAAACATCTCTTCAGAGTATTAACACCTAAAATAGGTAAAAAAAAATGATCTACAAGCAAGAGAGCTCTATTAAGCCATGAGTTTCAAGTGACCTAAATGGGTCATTTTTCAAAAGGAATATGTCCCATTATAAGGGTCTATATAAACCTCCTACTCAAGAAACGTACTCGATCAACCCAGAGATCAAAGATCTGTTTCGCATTCATTAACTTCTCCTTTTTTTCTGGTGGAAAAGCGGGCGAAAACTTTACGTTGCGCGTGCGTCGTTGTTATACTATAACTGTTCGTGCCAAATGGAGGCAATATTTACATAATCTGGGCAAGGAGTTTAAAGCCCGATTGCGGGTCTTAGTCCTAGGTTAAGGACTATTTCGGATTCTACCTCCAAAATCTGGATCCTGTAAAAGTTGCCTGATTACCAAAACTGGGGGTAGAGTCTTAAAAAAATATAGCAGTTTGCATAATCAATCCTCCTCCATTAAAAAACCGCAAAACCTATGTAATGCGGTGGAAAAGTTGATCATTCAGTTTTGTTATCTAAGTGCCTTGGAGGACCAGAGGGCAAAACTTATTTTTAAAAGTTTATATTATCTTTGCTTCTCTTTTAATCTACCAATTCTTCAAACATGTCAACTCACTCTCTCACTCCGCCCTGTCTCGCCGCAAATGCCAAGATGCCAAATAGCACCTTCTTTGAGAAATGATGAAAAATTAAAAAAATCAAAGGATCTGCATGGAAAGGTCGACTAACTTCGCTTCTGCCGGGTTAAAAAATTGTTTCAAAACTTTCTTTGATAGTTCGATTCAGTTGTCTCATGATGTCTCATTAACTGCGAGAACGAGAACTGAGGTCTGTAAATGGACAGTCAGGGAAAATTTCAAACACTGACGTCTTTCCATGACCATATGGCAATTGGTGGTGATGGTTCGGAAAAAGTGTAAACAAGCTGTTGGGACTGGCATCGCAGTTCGCAAACTGTACTATGATGTCATTAGATCTGAAACCCTGTATTTGACGATCAAGTTAGTACCATATTTGAAGCAATATATCATCATTATCATTTTTAGAGGGCACGGTAACGAATCCTGCAATCTGATTGGTTCTTTACCCGGTCAGTATTTTCCTATCTCTGCCCACGGGCCACGGTAACGCTTTCGTGAGTCGCCGAGTACATCTCAACTTTCGTTGCCATTTTTCATAAATATACCTCGTTTGCCGGCTGGGCAGTATTTTTAAGCAAACACATCGGTCACTACTCAAGCCGACTAATGAATCCTCTCTTTTCTCTCTCTCAAATCACTTTGGTTGGCAGAAAAATATTGGTTTCAGAATGAATTTGCATAAGCAATAGTGTCATTACGTTGGTTGACAAGCGGCCTAAAAACCGTCTACAATTGATTTGAATCATTCACAAAAAGTACCTAGAAAGTTAAAACGTGAGGTGTTTGGTTACAGGTAAACTGATCAATGGATCTTTCATTCATTTAATATCTGAATTTTCTCAAACAATTTGTTCGTAGTGAAAGAGCGAGCGACGTTTTAATTTCAGTTCGACAATAAATATACGCTCTCGGTGAGTCTTTCCAGGTCCGTTCAATATGGACATTTAGACCATAAATTGCACAACAAAAACGGAAGGAATTTATTGAGAAAAGGACGCAGTAAATCCTCTTGTGTCTCGTTGGAGTGTGCCGTTCGAATTTAGTTTTTTTGGAGGAAAGACCAGATTTACACACGCCGTTGTAGCAAACAAACGAGCAAACTCTCACAACTTCAAAATAAAAAATTTGAATTTATTCACAATTACTTTCCTAGCCGTTTACTTAATGAACAAAGGTAAAGCTTCGTATGTGAATGAATCGTCGATGAGAGCGAATAATACTTTCCGTGAGATCATTGACTATTTTTTAAGAAAACATTGTCGTGACAGACCTTGCCAAACTAGTTCCGTTGTTTTTCAAATCTTCTTGCGCGTTTTTTTTCTTACGCGCTCTCTGATTGACAGGTGTCAGATTGCGACAGATATTTGTAAAAATAATGTTTCAAACTTTGTTGGAAGCCTTTTAAATCACCCTTATCATTACGCAAGTGAAAATGTTTCAGTGAAGTATCTCTCTTTAATTTGTCTCACCTCTACTTTAACTACCATTTACTCGCTCAAAAATTGTTCAGTTTATGGAAGATCTTGCCGTATTTATAGCCCTAAATCATTCGGGCTCTTTCAAAATGTATTTCATTACGTTAAAAAAAAAATGTTATTTACCGGCTAAGGGTCGGTCCGTATGGTAAAAAACTGTGACCTCGGCCTTGAAAATGCTGCCCTCGGCCCACGGCCTCGGGCAGCATTTTCAAGACCTCGGTCACAGTTTTTCACCATACGACCCTCTCAGCCAGCAAATAACATGTATTTATTTATCCGCAAAACCAACCGTTAATAACATTTGCTCTCATGCATGCGGAACATATTGTTTATTCCGTTTTCTGTAAAAGCTTTACATAGCATGGAATAAAAGTGAACAGATAAGGAAAAAAAAATTTAGCCGCATGTCAAAGTTTTACAGGGTAATTTTAAGGTTGACTCATTATTCATGATTGAACTGCGGTTGGTCTATGCGGAAGACTTTATCATCACTGACCGAAGATCGTGGCTAAAAATTGGACCTGTTATCCTGTAGATATAAAATATATACTTCACCTATATTCGTTTGACTTTTAGGACAGATGGTAAAATTGCGTGGTTTTTTTAAAGTTGCCAGGATGAAAACTAGCTAAAGCATCAGTTTAATTGCAATGCTAACGTCATTCATGCTGTGTAAACATACGTACAGGAGCCATTAGGGACCTTAAGCAGTCAGGACGGCAACGCCAAGGAAGACTTCGATTAAAAAATGAATTTCTGCCTTTAATTAGAATTTCAAAAATGGTTGCATGTGTTTACCGTCTCATACGGCGCCACACCTCAACTTCAGCATAACGTATTAAAGAAACGTTGAGTTCCAAATGGAAATTAATATAATTTGCCGTCGCGGTTTCGGTTTGCAGACGACGCAATTTGTGGTGATTTCACGTTGTTTTTTGCATGGGACGGCTAAGAAATGCATAAAATTTTCAAACGCACGTGCTGCGCTATTGTTCTGCCAATTAAATCTATTGTTTTTCCATGTCCTCGTTGCGGTTTGCTTAAGGTCCCTATTATTGACTCTCTGAAAACCATCATGAATTTAATATTACGTGGCGATGAAACTTTTAAGATAAAAACAGTGGACTGACAGTTTAGTCTAGTAATCACACAAGAAAAAAATTGAAAAATTCCACTCTTATGTGTGGGTCAGGGACAAGTAAGACTCTTCAAAGTTTCATTACAAGTAAGACTCTTCAAAGTTTCAGTGCTACGGTATAGAAACACGACGGTACGAGGTTTCTAAAAACGATTCATTCTGTAGTCATAAGCAATCTGGATTCTTTTACTTCTGCACGCAGTTGCCCAAAAAACATCGCGGGACTGAATATCCCCGGCTAAAACTGAGGATATCCAAGTGATTAAGATTCACAAACCAAAATTCTAACGGAAAAATTGGAAAATACTTTCAGCTCAGCCCAGCGTATGTCTCGCGGTGTTGCCAAAGAAAGCAGAAAATTGCATCTTCCTATTGAGAACACTGTTGAGGATGCTTGTTGTCTACTAGCATTTGTAATTATTGTTTCTTCTATTCCAACATCATCAAACTGGTCCATTGAAAATATTGTTTAAGAGTTCATGAAAAAGGGAAAGCAATGAACTCTTAAATTATATGATCCTTAAACGCTCTGTAATATTTAACTTGGTGTAGGTACAGCCATGAAAGCTGTTATGATGGTACTAGCTCTCACAGCTTCCGTGTCGAATTTGACAGCAGCTATTCAAAGCCGTTCGTCCTTTCTTCAGACGACGAAAGATCACTATCTAGTAGGCCATGTGATCAGTGATCATCGGAAGGTGTCCAGCATTTCATCATGTGCACAACTCTGTCTGAAAAGACGTCCATCTTGCCGCTCAATAAACTACGGGGGAGAAGAAGGAGAAACGATTTGTGAGTTAAACGATAAAGGATTAGAGAGCGCTAATGCAGAGTCTTCTTCCTTTGTTTCTATGCCTGGATTTGTCTTTGCTCAGCTTCTCAATTTTGAGGTTAGTGCAGATAAAGGTCTGGAAATGATCCTAACCAAATTTGTACCAATTTATAGAAAAGGAACAAAATAAAGTAGTGCATTTACACTATCTTTATAAATTTTTTTAAGCCTAATGATAGCATGCCATAGTAAAGGAAATAAAGACGCGTCGGCGATTTATCCCCCATAGGCCTCTGTTTCATAGGTGCGATCTTTTAAGCTGCGTAGACTTTTAAACTGCAGCAAATGGATGTGAAAATACAACTTTTTCGGAAAATTATCTCCGCCACTGACCCACTAAAATATGGGTGTAAGCATGCTAATCTCATTTACATGTACCCTTGCATATCATGCCATCGGTAATCGTGAGGAATCATTCCTAGATCAAGGAAGCGAAGGAATGAAAAATTGCTCTAAGCTAGATGCTTTGTATTACACGTGCTCAACGATTATAACGTTGTAGAATTTAAATATTTACTGTAGTATGGTTTACTTTTTAATCCTTATTTGAAATAGTATCACAACAGTTGCGACGAAATCCAGAAAAAGAATCCTGAGGCGAAGAGTGGTTTATACAAAGTTTACCCTGTGTCAAATGCTGATCCTGTTGAGGTATACTGTGAACTTGACATTGCTGAAGGTGGCTTCACTTTCCTTCCTCACAGCCTCACTTTAAGATCAGATGCTCAACAGATTATCGACGCCCTCTTCAAAGACAAGAAAACCGTGTTGTTAAAGTTATGGAAAAAAGTCGATGGTAGCGAGTGGTACACTTTGATTCAGCCCCATCCGAATTATGCTGACGTCGATTTTGGCGTCTTGGTGAACAACTACTCTAGTTACACCAAACCAAAAAACGTCTTCATGCAGAAATACGTATTTCTTGGCATCCTCCCTAAATCAATAGCAAATAGGAAAACAACCCAGGGTTTCAGATCTAATGGCATCATGCTAGAGTTTTGGAACTGCGATGCCAATCCCAACAGCTTGTTTGCATTTTTCCCGAACCATCATCACGAATTACCATATGGTCATGGCGGGACGTCAGGATATGAAAATAGTGGAATCGCAGTAAACTGGCGTTCCCATGCCAAAGCTGTCACGAATGGCGGTCCCAAAACGCCAAGCGAGTTCTTCTTCTTGACCGAGCTGGAATTTGGTGGCTGTGGCTGTTACACTTCAAGCGACCGCTGGAAGAAGTTTGGTTACAATTCTACTGCCATTGGACTCCGCTGATCGATGTTTTCATCAAGAAAAATTAGCTTTTTTGATTGCTAATGGATGACTTGTAACTCATTCCTAGTCAGCAAGGGTCAGACTCACTTTTCAGAAGGTTGCCAAATACTATAAATGACCAGTAGATGAGTTGGAATGAGAACAGAAAATGTGCAAACCTTTAGTTTGGTAGATTACTTTATACCGAAAGCTGCCTCATCTGTCTTAACATTTACATGATTTGTTATGTTCTGTTTGTGTAATTTAACCTTTCATATTTAATTATCGAGCTCAGGGGTTATCTAAGTACCTAAAGAAAATTCAAACTAATAATAAAAATAATTATCATAATGATAATAATAACGATAAGTTCAGATCTATGATTTTCATATATTCACACTCATATATTCATCACTTCACGGCTTTATTTGGAACCAACATAATAGCCTTCTCCCAGATGGCTTGTTAGCTCAGTTGATAGAGCACTGCACTGGTATCGTAAAGGTCAAATTCCGTATAGGGCTGAATTTTTTTCAGGTGAACGTAAGGCTAGAAAGTATTCTTTGTCTAAGTATCTCTAACGCAGCTATTGACTACTTCCTTCGCTCGCCTCCTCCATGTAAACACAATAATTTCGGCCCATCCATGTAAAGACTTAACTTTTTAAGCTATTTGAAAGTGTGTAAAGCTTTGTAAACTTCCAGAATGTCGACATTCCATCGAAGGACATTGACAGATACGTAGAGTCCATTCCAGTTCGATTTATTCAGCGGCATGCGTGTTAACGAAGTTGTCAATCATGTTATTTTCATTTGTGAAACGGAAGATGCTTTTGTCTTCTGGTGGACGTGGTCGTTGTTAAACCAAATAAAAGCTAGTTGGTAGAGCGAATGAAACAAGAGACATCTGACATTTAGTGGCAAGGAGGTTATAGCCGCGCGGGAACACACCGTTTAGCGACCCTTTCAAATGAAATTTATCGATGTAAGAAACCAAGTGCTGCAGTCTCCTCTAGAAACTTTCCCATTTACAATGTGTAAAAACTCGTACGTTATTCGTGAACTTCTGTCTGACTCGATCGTCTTTACATTTATTTCGCGAAAATCCTGTTTTGTGAGTAAGTGAACCATGCAATGATACTGAAATTTTCCTGTAGTTTAGGTTAAAGCGAAGTACGAGTGGTGCCATGGAAGGCATTACCGTTTTTTTGTAGAACGTTTTCGATGAGACGTATACCATTCCATTTATTTTCAACCCGAACGATTTTCCGAGGACAATGTCTAAATAACCAGGGTGAGAAGAGTCGATTACAAAGCTTTTCAACTCGTTAGATGACGATTCTGTAATATAGTAAAATTAAACAGTAACTTGAGAGAATACACTAAGCAATATCCGAGAGGAATCCTTAAAAATACTTTACCTTCGCCTAAGTAACTGACACTTATTTTAGGTTTCATAGAGACGAGAGAGATCGAAAAACACTTTATGAAATTTTTCTTATTAAAATTACCTGTGGATAAAAAATCAAAAAAGGTGATTGATATGGAGTATTGTAGTTTCTAGAGCCGGGCTCTATTGAGAAATTGAATTGAAGGGGAAGCAATCTCTGATTGATTAAAAAGTTTTTCAACAGAGAGGAACAATTCTTGATTTCACGATGATCGTTATTGACGTACTTTGAATGGTATCTATTTTTTAAAATTTGTTGGGTGGCAAAAAATTGCGCCATATTTGAGAGCGTATTTAATACTTGCAAATATAAAATACGGTTCAATTAAATATCAAAATGAAGATGTCAAGTGAGTGGGAGAGGGAGTTCAAAAACAGCCGAAGTTTATCGAGCAGAACTTCGATCATTGATAACTCTTAAAAGTCTCGACCTCGAAAAACTTTTCCGGAGAAGTTGAATATATGCATATGTCGAGTGGAAGACTACCTTCAATGTGGGAATATTTATCAGCAGAATCTGCTACTCATGGGTGGCTCTATTTAACTAAGAACAGGAAGGACGTTTGATAATTTTTGCGAAAGAAATATGCAAAATAACAGAATAGATGAGCGATGAAAATTTCGCTAACAAAGTTCGCAGACCAGACATGCAATTAAAGAGTAAATTAAATTTCTACTTATAGCAAGAAAATTTAGCAAATTTATTATTTAGAGTGAGCAACGCACTAAATCATTCTATTTTCAGGATTTCAGGGTTACCAAATCCAATTCTTGACCACCCCTCATCCGCTACTAGGACCTCATTTCATTTTACTTCGATGACAATTTTTGACTTGATGTATCGTGCTATTTGTAGTCGTAGTGAGTAAGCGTTTTGTCCACTATTTGAGAATCGCAACGGTTTACTTTTTAAAGCAAAAAATTAGTAGATGGAAACTTTATCGGATTCCATGATTGCTCGCAAGAATTTGAACTGCGAAAAGTAAGATTTGGCGCAGTCTCTTTGTTCTCTTGATTCATACCAAGCAAAATTGGCAAGGTAAAATTGAAAATATTTTGCTCTCCATCGATCAGAATTTATTATGCTCTGCTATCCGAGGCGGACCTCATTTTTCATTACCTAAGTAATGCTAATTGATTAAATTGGATGAATTTTCCTAACCGTGTTGATCTACCTTTTCGGTATACAATTTGGAATTTTGTTTGAAAATGGCAAGACTTCTTTATGAAGTCAAGGGTAAGAAATGCGAGCGAATGGGGAACTCTTTGTTTTGTTATTTCGTTGCAAAAATATTCGCAAGCTGAAATTGCAAGTCTTTTGCTTTCAGAATAAATAGTACTCCTTTATCCGAATTATTCATTATATAAATAACACAAATAAACTGTGCTTACGACACAAGCCAACGTAAAGAGTACGGAAACCTTCACTCCGTGATTTGCAATCAGAGTGACAAGAATAGGCCACGTTGCTTAGGGTTAGGGTTATGCGTGCCTCGTTGTTATGTTATAACTGTTTGTCTCACGATGAAATCACTTCAATCAGCTGTGGACTGTACACCTAAGAAGAAGAGATCCACATTGGAAGTGACTACATCGCGTAACAAACGATTAGAGCGGAGTTTGCAGTGCGCACGAAGCAAAGTCCCATACAAATGAAAAATGGTAGGAGCCAATCAAGCCCAGAAAATTACATCTATCGCGTGACCTCTTGACTGACGGTTCTTTCCATGAGGGCAGTCGTATCCTTAGAGGGAAAGTATCATCATAGTTCAAAACGAATTTCATTGCAACTTCAAATTACACTTAAACTTCTACAACTCAATTGACTTCATTTATATCAACATCTTTTTGCCAATATTTATTTTCCGACACTCATAAATGTTTGAGTTTCACAAAGCTGCGTACAGTTAGATGGTTAAAAATCTGTTTCCATATAGTTATCCCACAATGAAAACAGTTTTAAAAGTGATAGTTATAGATGCTCTCCTTATGATATCCGCACTTCTGAAGATAATCATATCAGAATTCTTCCATAGACCTTGCTCGTCATTAAACAAAACCTTGAGCAAATTTCCTTATGACTTATCTGAGAAAATCTTAAATTAATTTGCTTGATCTGAAAAAAATTGGCACCTATTTTAGTTTATAGAAAGACGAGAGAAACAAACAAAACAAGTATCTCATTTTTCGTATTGTGTGCAAATAAGTGATTTTCATGGAGTTTTGCCGTTTCTAGAGCCGAGTTTTATCGAAAAGCAGAATTATCAAAAGTAATCACACCTACATTAGATAGATTACATACCAAGGGGGATACAATTCTTGAATTAGAGTAAAATGCATGAGTTCGCGATGTTCGTCATCAACAGATTGGAAATCTTATCTATTTTACTTTGTTAGGCAGCAGAAAATTGCGCCTAATTTAAGAAAGTACTGAATGATGACCAAGGGACAAAACTAGGAAGTCGAGTGAGTGGAAGAGGGGAGCATAAAGCCGAAGTTAGAGCAGAACTTCGATTTGATAACTCTCAACCATCCGGGCCTCGGCAACGATGGGTGAGAAGTTTGGTATAAGTATCCTTTGAGTCAAAGAACACCTTCTATGTGGGAGTAATTTACCAGGAGAACTAGCTGCCCATGCGTGGCTTTATAGAACTTAGAAAAGAAATGATTCTAAATAATTTTTTGCGAAAGAAATTTGTAACATAACAGAAATAAAAACCTGACTCTAAGACTGAAGAGAGAATAAAGTTTTTCTAAAATTGCTCTTACAGTACGTAATTTAGCAAAGCCGTAATTTACATTGAGTGGCTCACTTAAATATTGTGATTTCACATTTCCATTTTAAATTTGTTCTTCTTAGAATTTGTCATCTATTGAACTCGGCAAAACAATTATGAGAGTAACTAATAGTTGTCTACCATTTGAGTGCATAAAACTTATATTACTCAAATACTAAAAGCCCAGGCTAGTTTCCATGTTATATTTGCATCCATTGTTTTCTTGTATTGTCTTATGGGTAACAACTTTAGCTGCAGTTATTTCAAATTTGCATACGTAAAAAGAAAACATAAGTTGCATCACAGAGTATTTGATAGAATGTCTTCGAGTGATATTTCTAAAAGTACATTTTTACTCAATCAAAATTAGGATTTCTACGAAAAAATTCTAAAAGACTTTCTCTGGTATATAGAGATGATAGTTTTGACGGAAGTGTTAGTCATCAACTATGTATGAGATGTTGTGCAACCGTCAGCAGTTTGATTACATTTGTCACGAGAGGTGGAAAGTTTATCTGAATGCACATGGATTTCGCCTCTAAAATTCTAAATTATCTATCGTATTTATTTCTTAAATGGAAACGTTATGCGTCAAGCTCAAAACTGCTCCAATCTGGCTTTAATGAAACGTGACCATAACTTGTGACCAGCAGAGAAAAAAGTTGTCTCCTCTTACTTGTGACAATCACTGCTGGATATCAGCAAGATCAGCAAGTTGTCTATCTTAGATCTTTCAGTTTTAACCGTTCATTCAATTTCTTATGAAACCTGACTAAGAAGCTCAAAATGTATTTA